ATCTTCTTGAACATACAAGACATTCAATAGAGACTCCAGAAAAGTCATGTCATATGAGTAGGGCTAAACCAGCCCAAGAGTGAAATCTATATCCATGCTAATAAAATCTAAATATTCTGTATTATTCTGTATTACATATTCTTAAATATTTCCAGATATTAGCAATGAACACCTGGAAAGTGAAATATATATTTTTAAACACCATTTCCAAGGGTGTGGCTGGCTGACTTGGTTGGTGAAGCGTGCTACTTTGATCTGGGAGTTGTGAGTTCAAGCCCCACGATGGATGTAGAGACCACTTAAAAATAAAATCTTAAAAAAAATATACGATTTGCAGAGCGCCTGGGTAGCTTAATTGGTTAAGTGTCTGGCTCTTGATATCGGCTCGGGTCATGGTTGTGGGATTGAGTCCCACATCGGGCTCCATGCTGAGTATGGAGCCTGCTTGGGATTCTCCCTCTCTCCCTCTCTCTCTGACCCTCCCCTGCTCATACTGTCTCTATCTCTCTCTCAAAAATAAATAAAATATTTAAAAAGATAAATAAAAATAAAAATATTTTTAAATTTTGTATTTATTTTGAGAGAGAAAACGAGCAGGGGAGGGGTAAGGAGAGAGGGAGAGAGAGAGAATCTCAAGCAAGATCCATGCTGTCAGTGCAGAGCCGGATGTGGGGCTCGAACTCATGAAACCATGAGATTATGACCTGAGCCAAAACCAAGTGTCAGACACCCAATCGACTAGGCCACCCAGGCGCCCCCAAGTTCCGCTTTAAATCCAAGGTTGACCTGGACTGTGACTCAAGAATATGATCGCCTTTGCAAGCTTGGGTCCTGGAGGGTCAGACACGGGCTGATCTCAGATCCTTCACTGTGTCATTGTTCAAAGCTGTCAAAGATGGGGCAGAGCTGCAGGCAGGTGAAATCCCGCGGCGTCCCCTCGAATTCAGACCTATGCACCGGAAGGTGTCTCCCGCTTCCCATCTCACAATGGAACCGGGTGAAAGGCCGGGACAGGAAGGGATGACCCCTGCACAGTCACAGTCAGGAATGAGGCTAAGACAGAAAAGAAATGACAAACCAGAACTGGGACACCCCTGGAGCGCGATCCCACACCCAGCTACTTCAACTGCAACACAAATCTCTCCAACACTCTGCGAGGGCTTGAGCTGTGTCCCCCTCTCCCCAAATACACAGTTTGCAGTCCTAACCCCCAGGACCTCCAAAAGTGACCTTATTTCTAAATTTCTAAAGATTTCTAAATCTAAAGATTACCTCTACCTTATTTCTAAATTTCTAAATTTCTAAATCTAAAGATTACCTCTACCTTTACAGAGGTAATCAAATTAAGATGAGGCCATTAGGGTGAGGCCCAATCCAGTAGGACTGGTGTCTTTTTAAAAAAAATTGTTTTAATGTTTATTTTGGAGAGAGAGAGAAGGTGGGGGAGGCAGAGAGAGAGAGTCACAATCCAAAGCAGTCTCGTCTCCAGGCTCTGAGCTATGAGCACAGAGCCTGACACGGGGCTCGAACCCACGAACTGTGAGATCATGACCTGAGTTGAAGTCAGACGCTTAAATGACGGAGCCACCCAGGCGCCCCATGACTGGAGTCTTACAAGGGGGAAAATCTGCACACAGACACACATAGAGGGCAGAGGATGTGAAGACACAGGAAGGGGACAGCCAGCCACAAGCCAAAGAGAGAGGTCTGAGACAGACCTTCCCCCCCACCCCTCAGAAGGAGCCGACCCTGCCTACACCTTGACTGTGGGCTTCCGGACTCCAGAACTATGAGCGACAATACCTTTCGCCAATACCAAAGCGTCCCAGGTGGTGGCACTTAGTTACGACGCCGCCAACAAACAATGCCCAGGCCAAGAGCCAGCTTAGGATGATCTTCACGACAGGGGCTAGAGGCCAGCTGTGGGACCAGGACCGGAGGCAGGACAAGCACTTGTCAGAGGGATAGGGAGGGATGAGGGCACAGAGACAAGATTCTGGAGCTCGAAGCAGGTGGCTGTGGAGCTCCCACCGCCCTCTCTGCCCTCTGGTTCCCCCTGACCCCACTGGACCCGCACTGGCAGTTGCGACCGAGTGCTAGGACCCAGCCCCTCCCCCGTAGTCACACAGTGCTGCAGGAAACCCACGCACTCTAGAGACCGAGGGCGGTGAGCACTGGAGCCTGAGTCCTGATAAGATGGGAGGGTGGCTCAGACCCCCAGGGCCTAAGGGACAGGGTCTTTGCGACCAGAACTACCCCTTCATATTTTTATTAACTGTCCCTAATATCTTTATTAATAATATATTAGTAATCATATTGAATATTAACTGTCCCCAGTTGAAAGTTCTTAATATATATTCATGGGGCACCTGGGTGGCTCAGTTGGTTGAGCATCTGACTCATGATTTTGGTTCAGGTCATGATCCCAGGCTCGTGGGATTGAGCCCTGCATCAGGCTCCATGCTGGTGTGGGGCCTTCTAAAGATTCTCTCTCCGTCTCCCTCTGGCCCTTCCCCATTCCCTCTCTCTCTTTCTCTCTCTCTAAAATAGCTTTACTTCCAGAAATAGTACCAATCCTGAAAGTACACAAAGGGTATCTTATTTCATGTTACATGTAGATGCTGAGAGTTGAGGTGGGTTGTGACTTGGATTTCTGGGTCCAGATGACAGTAGGCTGGGGGCAGGACTCCTGGGCCTGAGGAAGGAGAGGTCTGGGAACAGGGACCCACAGATTCCTGAGAGATGAGAAAACTAGGGGCGAGGCATCAGGGACCCAGTGTTTGAAGTGAGTATCTTGCTATCTTTTCCCTTTGCTCTTGAGGCAGGATCAAAACCACAGTGAGCACTAAAGACTGTCTGTCCCGTGAGTCTGCTCCTTGTTAAGAGGCATCAATCAAGACGGTCCCTTCAGGGGGCGCCTGGGTGGCTTAGTCGGTTAAGCGACCGACTTTTGCTTAGGTCATGATCTTGCGGTTCGTGGGTTCGGGCCCCGCGTCCGGCTCTGTGCTGACTGCCAGCTCAGAGCCTGGAGCCTATTTCAGAGTCTGTGTCTCCCTCTCTCTCTGACCCTCCCCTGCTCACGCTGTCTCTCTCTCTCTCTCCTAGAAATAAATAAAAATATTAAAAAAAAAAAAAAAAAAGACGGTCCCTTCGGTTACTCTAAGAACTGCCAAAGGTTCCAGAATCAACCAGACAGTGTGGACAGAATAGCCAGGCTCCCGGGGAGCCTGGACACCCCTCCCCTGAAATCTGTGGGCTCTACCCCCTGGGGACTGGTTGCTGGGGCAAGGCTGGGACCGGTCACGGCCCTGCTGTAAAGTGCTGTATCCTTTCCCGCCTCCTAATGTTCCCTACCCCTCCCATCCTGTAGTCCAGGGCTTAAAGGCATCGGACACCTAATTATTTCTCATCCCATGAATCACATGCCTATTCTTAGTGTTTTGAATGTTAAAACATGAAATAATTAGAGCTATGCTATAGCCTAATTGCAGCTTTTTTTTGGTCCTGGATTAATCTTTGAAGGGGTGCCTGGGTGGCTCAGTCGGTTAAGCATCTGACTCCAGCTCAGGTCATGATCTCACCATTTGTGAGTTTGAGCCCTGCGTCAGGCTCTGTGCTGACAGCTCAGAGCCTGGAGCCTGCTTCAGATTCTGTGTCTCCCTCTTTCTCTGCCCCTCCCCCGCTCATGCTCTGTCTCTCTCAAAAATAAATAAAACATTAAAAATAAATAAAATAGGGGCACCTGGGTGGCTTAGTCGGTTAAGTGTCCGACTTTTGCTTAGGTCATGATCTCGCGGTTCGTGGGTTCGAGCCCCGCGTCGGGCTCTGTGCTGACTGCCAGCTCAGAGCCTGGAGCCTGTTTCAGAGTCTGTGACTCCCTCTCTCTCTGATCCTCCCCTGCTCACACTGTCTCTCTCTCTCTCTCCTAGAAATAAATAAAAACATTTTTAAAAAATAAATAAATAAAAATAAATAAAATAGAAAAGAAAACAAAACATTTTGGGGGGTGCCTGAGGATTGGCAGATTAAGCATCTGACTTCAGTTCATGTGCTGATCTCACAGTCGCGGGGTTGGAGAGGTGGAGCCCCGCATTGGGCTTGCTGCTTTGCAGCGTGGAGCCCCGCTTTGGATCCTCTGTGTCTCTCTCTCTACCCCTCCCCCCAATCTCTTTCTCTCTCAAAAATAAATATTTGAAAAAATTTTTCGGTGGTTTCTAAAAGGTCATAATAGTCTTCCTAATCTAGCTAAATCGCTTTCTCTTAATATTTGTATTCACTATTTCTAGTTTTTTTTAGTTTTCATTGTGGTATTTTCTCTACTCAAAATAAATATTCATTTACACCACAGCACTCACGGAAACAGCACCAAGTCTGAAAACACACAAAGGGCACCTTTGCTTCCTGTTACATACACATCTGGAAAGCTTACAGATAGACGAAATAGAATTTTCAGCCATGAACAAGAAATCTGAACGAACGGCAACGTCTTATTCGCGGCAGTGGCGCGGCCACGCGGGTCGGCCCTAACGGCAACCTGTACCCTCATCGTTTAAGCTCATGCATACATTCAAGGATGTGGGAAAGAAGTCTGAAGCCTGCATTTCTCTCTTCAGCCTTCCAGAAAAGGCCACGGAGGGGGTGCGGTGCCGTGATGCGATCGGAGGGAGGCGCCCGGGCTGGGCGGGAACCACTGCAAGTGAAGGTGACGAGGTCAAGTTGCCTCCCAGTGACCATGGCCACAGGGTAGGTGCTGGGGCAGAAGCCAGACTGGGTACATGGGAGGCCATTTGGACAGGGAGAGTAGTCCAGTGGGTGATGGCCAAGGGTTTGACCTCATGGCCTGGCTGGAGAAGCAGAGACTCCATGGCCCAACGAGAGAAAAGGGTCAACGAAGCCACTTGGGGACGCGCTGCCCACCCTGCCTTGCACGCCTGGTGCTACAAACACCGGCTAAGGCCCCGGGCCCTCCCCGTGGCTCGCTTGACACTCGCCATCTTGCGCGCGTGCCTTCCAACCCTGCCGGGAAGAGACTTCTCCGGAGCCAATGGGGTGCGGCCTTCCTTGGGGTTCATCCAATGAGCTCATTAGATGCGTTCACATTGGCCAATGGGGCTTCGAGTGACCCGTTGGGCAAAGCTGGCCCCGCCTTCCGTGTCTCTGAGAGAAGAAGCGAAGGCCAAGTGAAGCGGGAGAGCCGTTCTAGGCCGTTCCTTCAACTCCGTTAAGATTCTTGTGAGATTATCCAAAAGCCAGGTGGAATTTGGGTCCCTTAAGGAGAAAAGGAGAGCTGGGGACCCTGGGTCCTGAAGAAAGAGGAGGCTGGGCGCCAGGACGCCTGGGCCTGAGAGGAAGGGAGGCTGGGGGCCCTGCGGAAAATGGCAGTGGCTGGAACCCGAACCCCTGGACCCCTAGATAGAACAGGGTGGGGATCTCAGAATTCGATTTTGGGCGGCTGGGGCTGGGGGCTGAGAATCCCGGGCCTTGGGAGAACATAGGTTTGAACCCGGCCTCCCAAGTGCGTGGCGGCAGGGGCCTCTGGGCCGGACTCCAGGGTCCCGAGGTTGGCGGGTCCCGGGTTGTTGACGTCCTCTGCCTTCGGGAAACAGGTGTTTGGGTTGGAGAGTTGCAGCTGTGGAAACCGAGGCGCCGCGAACGTGTTACGTTGCACAAGCCTGCAGGCTCGATCGGGACACACCGACTGTGGAGGTCACGGTCTTCTGTGGTGCAGAAGTGTCTGAACTTAGCAGAAGGTCCCTGCAGTCTCATTCTGTGAGGCTGAAAAGTCCCCTCTTCTGTGTCACATCACAGATCCTGAGCCGCTCTTCCAGCCCTCTCTCAGGGACGCCATGGGGACCCATCGGGTCCAGAGTTTGCTGTTCCTCCTCCTCCTGGGAGCCCCCTCCTTGGCTTGTAAGAATGGCGGGCGTCCGGGGAGAGTTCACGGAGGGTTGGTCTCTGGTGACGGAGGGCTGACGCCACCCCCCCCCCCCCAGGAGGGCAGGCACTCACCTTGGTCTCCCCTTCTCCCCAGCAGTGCAGAACTTGTACTGTCACAAGGGTGTGTCCACCAGTATAGAAGAGGTTCCAAGCAGTGTGTTTAACTGGACCACGGAGAAGGTTGAGAGTTGTGAGAGCGGGTCATTCTGCCAGGAATCCCTTCTGATGGTTAAAGCAGGTAAAATGAGAAAGGGCGAGAGGAGGGGTGAGTATGTCCAGGTCGATGCTGTTCCCCTCCCTCTCCCCCAAACTTCAGGCCCATCCTCCTTTTTCTTCCCTCCCCTCCCCCCCCCAACAGGGACCAAGACCGCAGTTTTGGCCACTAAGGGCTGCATCGCTGATGGGACGCAGGCGGTGACGTATGTCCAGCACTCCCCGCCCCCAGGCATTATCACAGTCTCCTACTCTAGCTACTGTGATGATTCCTTGTGCAACAGCAGAGAAGACCTTCAGGAACTCTGGAGGCTGGAAGAGACCCTAGAAGCCTCCAGAGGTGAGAGATGGGGACTCCGAGAAACTCTCTGAGCCCCTGAAAAGATCGTTCGCCTCCTTTCTTTGTGTTTTTATTTGGCCTAGGCCCTTGGGGGGCGGGGGGGGGGGACACACACACAAAAGAACCTCAGACCTTCTGCCTGGCTTTTTCTAAACGATTACCTTGGGGTCTAAATGCTGCTTGGCGCACTGGGACGTCAACGAAGGCTGGGGTATAAGTTGGCTTTTGTGTTTATTTAATTTTTTTTACTGCTTATTTATTTTTGAGAGACAGAGACAGAGTGCAAGGGGAGGAGGGGCAGAGAGAGAGGGAGACACAGAATCCAAAGCAGGCTCCAGGCTCAGAGCTGTCAGCACAGTGCTGGACGGAGGGCGGGGGGGGGGGGGGGGGGGGGGGGGGGGGGGCTCGACCTCAGGAACCATGAGATCCTGACCTGAGCTGAAGTTGGACGCTTAACCAACTGGGCCACCCAGGCGCCCCATGGCTTTTGTATTTATTAAGCAATAAAGTGTCCGCGGAGGTTTCTGAGCAGGGCCATGTGGCCTAATCAGTCTGGCAGTTATGGCTTCCCCAGTTTCCCGATGTGGCCAGGAGCCTATAGCAATCTGGGGCTCACTTCCTTTTCTCCCCTCCCTGTTTACTGTGCTCCAGCGGGGCAGGGGTGGGGGGTGGGGGGGGAGAGCTGGTATTCAAAATGCTTAAGCGTAGATATGGTACTGGCCCAACCAGAATAGATACTGGCCATAAAGACAGGGCCACCCTCCTGTGCCTACGAACTGCACGCCAACCCTGCGGGGCCTCCCAGCCCCCAAAGTCCACCCAGACGGCTCCCACCTCCAGGCCTTTGTCCTGGCCGGTTCCTTTGCTACCGCATCCACCCCCCACTTTCACGCAGCTCACCTCTGTTCACCCTTCACCTCAACTCTGGGGTCTGCTCTGTGAAAATACTCAGCAGATTCTTCCGAGGAGTTAGGCTCTCCTCCATTCCTTTGTCATCACACTTTGGACGCAGTGCCTACTGCGACGCATTATAATCCCTGACACGTCCTTCTAGACAAGGGCCCTTGATGGCAGGCACCGTGTCCTTTTCATCTCTGTCTCCACACGCAAGCACACAGTTTGGAAGTCATGTTGGATGGGTGCTGACAGCACAGAAGATCAATTTGAGCAGCAAAGCGTGGGGGGTTGGAGGGTGGGGGGAGGTTGCGGTGACAGGTGGGGACGGCTGCGGTGTCAGCAGCAAAGACTTGGGAAAGGGAGGGAAGCAAGAAGAGACAAGTCCAGAGGCTGGACACACCCCGACTGTCCCTCTGTTTCCCCCTCCAGCTCCCAGTACGTCGGTAGTACCCCTCTCCTGCCCAACCTGTGTGGCTCTGGGGGCCTGTCCAGCTGCTCCTTCTCTTCCCTGTCCCAATGACACAATTCAGTGCTACGAAGGAAGACTTCAGATCCATGGAGGTAAGCTGAACGTCTGGTGGTTTTCAGAGGCTAGAAAACCAGACATCTGAGTGGATCCCAAGAAGTTCTGATACTCGGGGTTCTAAGAATGAGGGAGGAAACGATTCCTGTCTGATTTCCTAAAACATCTGTGTGCTCCCCCACCCTTTCTTGTTCCACAGGAGGCATCAATTCTTTTCTGGAGATCAAAGGTTGTACGTCCATTACCGGTTGCGGGCTGATGGCTGGGGTCTTTACCATAGGACCCATGTGGGTGAAGGAAGTCTGTCCGTACCAGTTTCTCCTTCAACCCCGGAAGACTGAAAATGGGGCCACCCGGCTTCCTGTTTCAGTTTGGAGGTTAGAGCTGCTGCTGCTACTGCTGTTACTGCAATAACTTGTCCGTCGTTCCCGAGGAGACGCTTCCGGTCCTGGATTCCGAGATACGTCTTTTGAGTGGGAGCCTTCTGACGGCTGGTCGTCAACAAGTTGAGATTTGAAGAAAAGAAGAGTTCTTGCGGTTGTATTTTGTATTTCTAATAAAGTTTCTGCTGTGATTTATGCATAACGCAAGGCTAGAAGTGGAATTTTAGTGCTGAAAGGGCCCTTGAAATTCATCGTCTCCACCCCACACATTTTGCAGAAAGGGAGGCAGGGAGCTGGAAAGCTTTCGTGAGTTTCTCACGTGGCCGTAGCTTTGGGCAAAGCAAGACCAGAACTTCGATATGTTGACCTCAAGTCTGGTTTTGCTTTTGTTTTATCGGTCACCTTCTCTTGGAGGGCGGGCAAGAGGTCAGCGGCAGCCTCCCCCAGAGCGCTCCCAGCCTCCTTATGGCCATAGTTGGCCATTTTGGTTCTAACGTTTCCCTGGGAGGTATAGCAGAATTTGAAAAATCAGACTCCAAATTCTCCCATTATATAACAGGCCCTCTCTCCTTTTTTTTTTTTTTTAATTTTTTAATGTTTTATTTATTTCTGAGAGAGAGACAACATGAGCGGGGGAGGGGCAGAGAGAGAGGGAGACACAGAATCTGAAACAGGCTCTAGGCTCTGAGCTAGGTGTCAGCACAGAGCCCGACATGGGGCCCGAACCCACGAACCGTGAGATCATGACCTGAGCCGAAGTCGGACGCTTAACCGACTGAGCCACCCAGGCGCCCCATGGGCCCTCTCTCCTATGTCCTATCTCTTGCCCCTTTACATCATCCCTGCCCTTCTCTGCTGCCTATGTCCTACATCCTCAGCGGACAGAGGGAACCCAGGAGGCAGCTGGGGGCCAGCTGGGTATGAGGGCTGGGGGCCTGGGACTCTTGGGGGGAAGTTTTGTTTTTAGCTTCTCACGCTTGTTTATTTATTAACAACACATAAAACCCATCTTATTATAAAAGACTCCAATGACATAGGAGCTTATAAAGAAAAGTAAAATGTGGGGTGAGGGTAAGGAGGAACAGATATTTATTGTCTTATCTAAATAGCTTTATCGAGGCTTAATTGATATAGTCAATTGCACCAGGGGTGGAAGGAGACTTCACGCAAACAACTGACCCCCACACACAAAGGACAGGGGAGTTTGGCCAGAGTACAGGCCTGCCAAGTTCTTTCTAGAAAGTTCTCTAGTTCTAAACCAACTCTTTTTGAGTTAGAGCCCCACTCCAGCTAATCCTTTACCTTTGTCCCTAGGCCTCCAGTTCCCCATTGTATCAGTTTGCCAGTTTGCGGGAGAAAGCACGAAATTTGTTAATGAAGGGACTTGAGAGTTTCTGAAACAAAAAGCATTCAGAGCCACTGGTAAATGCCATCTAGGACAAAAAATACATGAATAAACAAACAACAAAAAGGCCAAGGAGATGTTTCTCATAGGACAATGGCTTAAGACGTTACAGGAGAAATCCCTGAGTGAATAGAAGAATGATACAATTTTCTAAAAGTTGGCCTGTGGATTATTCTGGCATTTTGAAAATTATAGGTATCATATGGCAAAGGACTTCAGGCAGCATGGGCAAATTTCTCAGCAAACTTTCCAATAATATATTTATGTAAATATACATAATATAAAAATACTCAATATATTATTTTTTTGATACCTTTGTTTATAACAATCCCTCATCCAACCCAATGGTAGGCAGAAACTTAACCAGTGTGGGTTTTTAAAAAATATTTCTATTGTTATGTTTATTTCTTTTGAAAGAGAGAGAGTGTAAGCAGGGGAAGAGCAGAGAGAGGGGGAGACACAGGATCTGAAGCAAATTCCAGGCTCTGAGCTGTCAGCACAGAGCCTGACACGGTTCTCGAACTCATGGACCATGAGATCATGACCTGAGCCGAGGTTGGATGCTCAACTGATGGAGCCACCCAGGCGCCCCAAAACTTAATCAGTTTGAATAAACTCAGCCACCTCAGTGTTTTCTCTGGTCACTTCCAATTTCAGCTCAGTCAATTCAGAGCTCTCTCCCTTTCCACTCTCCTCACCCAGGGCTTGGCTACAGGCCTGGTGGGAAGGAGGTGACAGTCTAGTTTTTGCCTCGGAGCTGCTCATGGCCAAGTTCTTGTGGATGGCTGGCAGCTGGCTTCCATTCCTGCTGGTGTCCACGGGGAACCTCCAAACCTGTCTGGGCACTGATGGGCATCCACGCGGGTCCTCTCGGCTCTGTCAACCCCTACAGCTGCATCAGGGCCTCTCCCAACAGCTCTCAAGTCCCACTGCGGAGCGTCAGGAGCCTAAGAAACTTCTGGAGTGGTAGATGTGCTCCTAATCTTGACTGTGGTGATAGTAAAGCTTCTCAAGGTCTACATAGGTCAAAAATCATCAAGGGGTATGTGGTTTGCTCTAAATATACGCACTATACCGTACGTCAATCACACCTCCATAAAGCTGTAAGAAAGAAAGAAAGAAAGAAAGAAAGAAAGAAAGAAAGAAAGAAAGAAAGAAAGAAAGAAAGAAAGAAAGAAAAGCACAAACGTAACACGGTAACAGTTTGTTTTTCGGTCCTTCCTTAAATTGCCATTTCTTGACAAGTTAGAGTAGAGATGGAGGAGGGGACTATCATACCAAGAAAATTAACGTTGTGTTTGGTGGTCTGCCAGATTCCAGTCCATCCTGTTCTTTCCCACTGTCCCCAGTGAGTCAACTGGCTGCTTCTCAACTCAGTAAAATCTCCTGGTCTTTGACAGACGTTCTCCTCCACGTCTCTGCTCTCAGAGCCAGTGGTGGCCTCGGGAAGCTACCCCAGCTTGCTCAGCTATGAACGGCTCCCTTCTCTGAACCAGCAGGACTTTCTTGCATCCATTTCTATTTCACCTTCCACTGAACATGCGGAACACTTTGTAATATCTCGATATTTCTTGGTGTTCCTATGCCTTTGCTTCTATGCCTTCAGCATCACACGCTCACATGCTACTTTTCCTTGTTGTGAGCATCAACCAATTCCCTTTAAAAGGCCCTTCACCCAGGGGCACCTGGGTGGCTCAGGCGGTTAAGCGTGACTTTGGCTCAGGTCATTATCTCGTGGGTGGTGAGTTTGAGCCCCACATTGGGCTCTCTGCTGTCAGTGTGAAGTCCACTTCGGACCCTCTGTCTCCCTCTCTCTGCCTCTCCCCCACTCTCAAGTACTTTCTCTCTCTTGCTCGCTCAAAAATAAACATTAAAGAAAAAATTTTAATTAAAAAAAAAATCCCAGGGCGCCTGGGTGGCTCAGTCGGTTAAGTGTCCGACTTCGACTCAAGTCATGATCTCACAGTTCATGGGTTGGAGCCCCGCATCGGGCTCTGTACTGACAGCTCCGAGCCTGGACCCTGCTTCAGATTCTGTGTCTCCCTTTCTCTGCCCCTCCCCTGCTCATGCTCTCTCTCTCTCTCTCTCTCTGTCTCTCAGAAATAAATAAAAAACATTAAAAAATTTTTTTGAAAAACAATTTTTTAAAAATCCCTTCATCAGTTTATAACTTCACCCTTGCCCACTCCCTTCTTTCTATTCTTTCTGTTACTACTCAGTACCTGGCTCTCATTCCTTAACCACCTCCCCTCGAATGACCTTTTTCTTTCTGTCCTTCTCACTGTCACAATTCCATTGAATACACTTTACCATGGAATACGACTTGGCAATGCTAAAGAATGAAATCCTGCCATTTGCAGCAACGTGGATGGAACTGGAAGGTATGATGCTGAGTGAAATAAGTCAGTCAGAGAAAGACAGACATCATACGCTTTCACTCAGGTGTGGACCTTGAGAAACTGACCAGAAGACCATGGGGGAGGGGAAGGGGAAAAATAGTTACAAACAGAGAGGGAGGGGGGCAAACCATAAGAGGCTCTTAAATACAGAGAACAAACTGAGGGTGGATGGGGGGGTGGGCGAGGGGGGAAATGGGTGTTGGGCACTAAGGAGGACACTTGTTGGGATGAGCACTGGGTGTTGTATGTAAGCAACGAACCATGGGAATCTACCCCCAAAACCAAGAACACACTTTACACACTGTAAGTTAGCCAATTAGAAAATAAATTATACTTAAAAAATAAAAATAAGAAAATGAAGATGAAAGGGCCTATTAAAGTAAAAAAAAAAAAAAAAAGAAAGAAAGAAAATACTGTACCAACCTTGAAATGTCAATTAAATGCCTCCCACATTTAACAACTATAATATAAAGGAAGAGGGTAATAGACTATGGTGGCAAAATTTCTACATTATACTTGAAATGGTAAAATTCTGATTCTAAAGAGATTGTGAAAAGTTAAATATGAATATTATACGCCCTTGAGCCATTACTAGAAATACCACATAAGGCCAATTATTAAAGACCAATTACTATAAAAGACCAGTAAGTTAAAATTATAGGAGACCTATTATTAAAAGATCAGTAATCAGAATAGATTAACAACATGAATTGACCATAAACTGTCTGCAGGAAATCATTGCAAATACAATGATACAGGAAGGAGAGAAGCAAAATGATTAAATGATACACTTTTACTTCTACCTCAAATGGAGTAAGAGGGACTGGATTCATCTTTCTAGATAAAACAACCAAAAAAGCAGAGAAAATGCATGAAATAATAATTTTCTTTTTAAAAAATTTTTAATGTTTATTTTAGAGGGAGAGAGAAAGAAAAAGAGAGTAGGGGTGGGAGAGAGGCAAAGAGAAATGGAGACACAGAATGTGAAGGAGGCTCCAGGCTCTGAGCTGGCTGTCAGCACAGAGCCCGACGCGGGGCTCGAACCCACGAACCGTGAGATCATGACCGGAGCCAAAGTTGGACACTTCACCGACTGAGCCACTCAGGAGCCCCACCAACTTTCTATCTTGAGAGAGTTTTCAGGCCCTGGTACAAGGAGCGAGAACTCAGGGAGTGCCTGGCATCCTGTCTGAGCTGAGGATAATCCGGAACTCAGAATCTAAGGCCAGCTAGAGTTTGCAGGACAGAAGGCACTGTGGAAAGAACAGCATAGAGAGAGAACCCTGGAGACCAGCAGAGGGTCCCCCTTGACCATGCAGCTGAGTGCTGATCATCACATACGTGTGAGAAAACTACCAGGACTGGGTAAAAACTTCCTGAACGGATTAGACATGAGTCCTGGC